AAAAAAAAAAAAAAGGTAAAGAGAAGGGAGAGGGAGAACACGGGAACAGGGGAGAGATGGAAGTAATTTTGGAACTTCATGCTTACTCTTTTATAATCTAACATACAGAAAATGTGCTTTTTTTTCTTACTCTCATGGGTGTTTTTTTCCTTCCTATTAAGTCTTTGCAGTTTGATAAGGAACAAATGGTATCTCTTGCTGAGGCAAATCAGGCATTGAAACAACAAGTAGAACAAATGCAAGAAGAAGCAAAAAAGTAAGTCTGTTCTTTTAGCACAGACAAAAGAACTACAGCATTTGGTTTTCGTATTCACCTTTTTAGCAATCACTCTTTTCGTATTCCCTGGTCTTTCCTGTGGGAAATTTAAATAGAGAGTCATATCCATGGCAAAGTGTTAGTTGCACGCTGCACAGGAGTTCCAGCATCTCCTCTGATTCACTTATGCTTTTAACCAACAGTATATGCCATACAACATGCATATTGGAGCTACTCCTAATAAGAATTCACTGAATTTTAACCTTGACTGTCTCAAATGTTCGCATTAATGAGAACCATATTTTTCTTCCACTGGTGGTCACAGGGTTTTTACGATACTTGACATATCGACCGAGGATCTCAGATTAGATTAGGTTCTTAGTCTAAGTTCTGTGTTATTTTTAGAGAGAGTAGTATGTATTCCTTCTTATTGGAGTTTTAATAATTCTGACAAAGACTTCTTAACTACTGTAAGTATTCAAAAGTCTTCAACATATTGTCTTGTAGAGGGCAAAATTGTACCTTACCAACCTGATGTCTTTCTCTGATGAGATGGCTGACTCTGGGACAAGGGGAGAGAAGTGCATGTTGGTTTTCGTTTGGACATGTTAAAAATTAATCTTTTAGTACTGTTTTCAGGCAGTTTTTGTCTTTACCTGATGTTTTCTTTTTCCTTTCACTCCAGGGCCATTACTGAGCAGAAACAGAAAATGAAGCGTCTTGGGTCAGATCTGACAAGTGCTCAGAAAGAGATGAAAGCAAAACATAAAGCCTATGAGAATGCAGTTGGCATTCTTAGTCGTCGGTTACAGGAATCTCTTGCTGCAAAGGAATCTGCTGAAGCAGAGTTGAGCAAACTAAAAGCACAAATCACTGATGGTGGAAACAATCAGATTGCTCAAGTATGCAGATGTCTCTTAACATTTTTAGTACAAAGATAGAGCTGTCTTGTTATTAAATATAAGTCTCGAAATACTATTTTACACTGAAGTGTTGAAAATATTTGGAATATAAAGCTAGATAAGAACATGGTATCAGTCTTCTGAGCACTGATGATTTCCTTGACTACATTTGAGAGACATAATATGGCAGGCTTTGGTTTGGTTGTTTGGGTGTTGTTTTTTTTTAATTTTACTTGTGTCTTTCAGGTTTACCAATTGTAATCCATCCTCAACAGGATGGTGAGCCTTAGGGCTAATTTCCTGATTAATTTTTATTGGTTTGGGGTTTTTTGGTTTTGTTTTTTGAAAGGCTCAGCATCTGAAGATTTTTCCAATATTCTAACTCTTACTGCTTTTTTTTCTCATTGAGAATTAAAAGTTCTTCAGTGTGACCATAACTTACTTGTATATGTTATGCCTGTGATAAGAAAATTAATTTACTGGGGGAAGTTCCAATTCCTTGGACCAATGGAGCGAGATATCAAATACACTAACAGCAGTAGCTGGATGCAAGGGTGGAAAACTCTGAGCAAGACCTTTACATTAAGCACTAGCACTTCATTTAATAGCTGCTGGAGAAGTAGACTTTTTAACAAAAACAAAATTACTCCTGTAGATGGGTGATACATTAATCGCACTTGTGATCCCTTTCTCTTTAGGAAAGGATTCAAGCTCTGGAAACAGAATTGCAAGCTGTTAGCAGCAGTAAGTTGATGCTGGAAAAAGAGCTGCAAGAAGTGATTTCACTTACCAGCCAGGAGCTTGAAGAATACAGAGAGAAAGTGCTGGAACTTGAGGATGAGGTGATTGCTTGAATTTGCACAGTAGATGGGAAGGTGACAGTAAAAAGTGCCTGAGAGGCAGGGGAGAAATTTTAGTACCATAATTTTATTCCAACAGTGCAGGAAATGAGAATCTTACAATGTTTCTTAGGAAACATTGTGTCAGTGAAACTTGCTAATTTTGCTGCCCTGTTCTTCATGGTTTCATGAATCATTGTTGTGTAGGGGAAAAGAGGATGAGAGAGAAAAGTAGTTCCTGTATTAGATACCGGCTGTGTCTGGTTATGAGATGGTGAGGATGCATGAATCACTATCTTTTGAAGCTATTTGGATTCATGGATGCTGAGTGATTTTGAGGGCAGGGTGGTGGTGTTCAGTTGTAGAGTTGCACAAAAAATTTACATATATCTACTATTCTTGATCTGCACCTGAACAGTACTCCTGGATTCTGCTTTCTAGCAAGCATTGTAGTCTTCCAAAAGGAAAAAAATACCTAACTGAACTTATTTTGCAGTGTTCAATTAAAAAAGAAAAGGGAAAAAAAAATAATCCCACTCTGGGACAGCAAGACGTTTAATCAGTTTAGCTCACAACTTTTTAGTGGTAGTAATCTGGACTTGTTTGGTTTTGTTTGCTTGATTTGTTTTTTTTCTTTGGCTGTAGCTTCAGGAGTCTAGAGGCTTCAGGAGGAAGATAAAACGTTTAGAAGAAATTAATAAGAAGTTGGCCCTTGAACTGGAGCATGAACGAGGAAAACTTACAGGTCTTAGTCAGTCCAATGCCGCTTTGCGGGAGCACAACAATATCCTAGAAACAGCATTAGCAAAAAGAGAGGCAGACTTGGTACAACTGAATCTACAGGTATTTGACCTTTTGATATAATGTCTTAAGAAAGGAATTAGCTCTTATTTCTGATAACAGGATGGAGACATCTTCACTTGTATGATACAAAGTTGGTGCATTTTCTCCAGATCTGGGTCGCCTGTGTGTTGTGTAACAGCAGTAACACAGAGGGCTAAACAGGAGATCAGAAATGAGAGTTTGCACTAAACAGAGCTGTTTCTTTTGGAAAAAAACAAATCACACTAAAATATTTGCAATAGTGAAAGTGTGGCTTGCTTAAGTTAGTTGGAACATACAACTTTGTTACATACAGATTCATTGAGCTGAACAATTTTTATGCCAATAGTAATATATTCATGGGGTGTGTGGAAATGGGAATATAGGCCGTGAGCTACCATTGAACCGTAGCTACTTTTAAGGTTGAAGGGTACCATGAGGAATGAGTTATCAATAAACAGTAGAGAGAAGTTTAGCAATCCCTGCAATGGCCTGTGTTTGTATTTTCTCTACTGGCATTTCTGGTCTTCCAGTGAGCCCGCACAAAATGCCCATTTGTTTTTGTGGTACAGGTTCAGGCAGTCCTAAAGCGGAAAGAAGAGGAGGATCAGCAAATGCAACAACTTATTCAAGCTTTACAGGCTTCCTTAGAGAAAGAAAAGTCAAAAGTTAGAGACCTTAAGAAGCAGGTAAAGGCTCATCTTTTGTTTTATTTACTGAAAAGGTGACTTAAATGTAAAGTATTGAAAAGTAGCTTGAAACAAAATCTATGCTTTATCATAGACTGCTTCCTGCAGGGTCTCTGTCATGATGGAGAGTGGCTGAAAGATGAGTTGATGTCTTTCCTGTTGTGCCCTGTGTTAAGCATACTTATTGATTACCAGGAAAGCTCTACTCTGACTTGTAATGCATAGGACGTATCATCACTTCAGGATACTTCATCCAAAAAGTCACAGTGACAAAGCAGTCTAGCAAACATGCTTTTTCCATTATATATAGTTATTGACTGCTTTTAGCATTAATAAGGATAACAACACCAATAATAAGTTTTTTATACAAAAAGAGAAGCGTTAATAGCTGCACAACTTCCTTCTTGATTTGTTTTGTACCCCTTTAGTCTAGCTCGCTTTATGATGCACCTACAGTGATGAAACAAAGAAAAAGTGCATCTTTTTTTTTCTTGTAGGAAGCAGCAGCCAAAGCAGATGCAGCACATAACCGCCGTCATTACAGAGCTGCTGTGCTTGAGCTCGGTGAAATCAAGAAAGAGCTACATGCCAAAGAACTACTTGTCCAAGCCCTTCAGGCTGAAGTGGACAAACTGCAGTAAGTAAATTTCCACATTCTTTGAGAACAGTAAATAAAACACATTCTTTGAAAAAGACATTAGTGAATTTTTGGTTTTGCCACTCCAGAGTGGATTATGTTGAAATGTACCCTAGCTGAGCCTGACCGTAAGATGCATATTTGGACTCTAGGCAAATACTTGCATTTTTCTGTCTCTTCATAATTCAGTTAGACTTAAAGCACGTGCTGTATTTGGCTTCAGCATCTGCTTTTTTTTTTTTTTTACAGTTTTTTTTTTTTTTACAATTTTATTGTTGAATATATTCCAGAGTATATTCAAATTCAATTTGTTTTCTTGCATAGAAAATATTTTTGTATAATTTAAGAAATTATCAGGTCTACATGAGAATGGATATAATGTTAACCCTATTCCTCTTAAAACAAAAGCAAAATTGCTGACAGGTTTTTTGTTTTCTTTTTGTTTTTACTGCATAATCTATTGGTTGTAACTGCACTACTACCAATGCTCAAGGATATTTCTTTTTAATATTTAATAATATATTCATGCATCTGCCTCTTATAAAATCTCTTTGTGATTTAACTCTTGCTGTGAATGTGTTGGCAAAGCCTTCAGTGAAAGCCATAACTAACCAGGTTCCGTGGACTGTCATGTCATTTATGGTTACATGGCTAACCCAATGAAGTACTTGTTTTAAAGGCCAGATTGAACAACTGCTGTGTCTGCTTCTCCTGCTGTGCAGGGTAGAGGATGAAAAACACTCCCAGGAGGTATCACAGTTTCAGCAAGAGCTGGCAGAAGCCAGGTCTCAGCTCCAACTTCTGCAGAAAAACCTGGATGACAAACTTAGTGAACAGCCTGTAGTAAGCCAAGAGGTAAAAACTGCACTTTTACTGTGTTTATCCTTATTTATGATACATTGTATGACTTCATTTGTCTTTAATTCAGCATTTTTTAATGAAGTTTTGTGAGGTTTTCTTAGAGCCAGAAGGGTTCATGAGACATAGGTGGTAATATATTTCAGATTTTGTGATTGATTGCACCTATAGAGAATTCTAAAGATACTTCTTTTTTTTCACAGAATCACAGAATGGTTAGGGTTGGAAGGGACCTCTGGAGATCATCTAGTCCAACCCCCTTTTATTTCTTTTTTTTTTTTCCTGGTAGGTGGAAGACCTCAAGTGGGAAGTAGAACAAAAAGAAAGAGAAATTGAAACACTTAAGCAGCAGTTGGATATGAGTGAACAGCGCAGCCACAAGGAGTTAGAAGGGATACAAGTTGTCTTGCAGGTATTTAATCTAGCTGGTGGAGATTCTGATGGATAACTGATATTGCTGTAGGGGGATAATTAATACAGTATTTTTATTGTTTAGAAGCATACTTACATGGATAATTTTCTGATTTTTTTTTTCACAAATTTTTATTCATAAAGACTTATTCACTGTGTGTTTTCCAGTGTCTTTACTTCTCTTTTTCACTTTGACTTGCTGTTGGCTTTGTATTTCCTTGACCGTACACCATTAAAATAGGCTATGGGTTTTTTTTTAATCTAACTTCTGCTTTTCTGTCAGGGCAAATTGGTTTCAAATAACAGTATTATGTGTTGTCTCTTTTTGTAGTTTCCCCTGGAAACTGAAAAAATGTCAAAAACATTAGTTGGCTGGAATTTTTATACGTTTTCCCCATATCGTGTTGATCCTCTTCTTTTCCCATTTAGAATCTCAAGACTGAGTTGGAAGTGGTGAGGGAAGACCTGTCAGTGACTCAGAAGGATAAGTTTATGCTGCAGGCTAAAGTGACTGAACTGAAGAACAGCATGAAGTCGCTGCTGCAGCAGAACCAGCAACTAAAGTTGGACCTGAAGCATGGCAAGATGAAGAAGGTATTTAAATAGGAAGAATACATGTTGTAGGGTACCAGAAAATACTCCGCTAATGCTCTTAAAGTACCAGAAAATACTCTGCTGCAGGAAACCTAGTGATAACTCTGAACTGAAATGCCTGCCTGTGATAGAGACTTACTGGTGTTCTGACATTTAAATGATAAATACAGGAAGATTTGCAGGCAAAAGTAACTGTACTGCTCTGGACTTCCCACCTTCTACTTCAGAAATCTTTGTGTTTAGCATATTAGCTTACACTTACATTATGACTTATGACAATAAAGCAAAAAAGGCAGCACTTAAATAATGAATCTTGGGCAAATATGGAGTTGTTACCTTCTTATAGTTTATACCTTCTTAATGTTCACATGTCTGTCCTCTCCATAGTGACTAGTTTTTCATTCTTCCATAATTTCAAAAGGTAACTATTAGTAGTTTCTTTGAGTTTTCTGATTTGCTACTAGTACACAGAAAATGCAGTAATAGATCTCTTCCTCTTCCCCTCCCTGACGTAATGCTCTCACTTAGCGAGACAGAATTTTGTATGGAAGCCTCCATTTCATTCTTTTAGACATTGGTCCTGATACCTCATCCTGCAGGTTACAGAATTTCCAGAAGGATTTACCTGATTATACATAGCTGATTTTTTTTTTTTTTTCTGAATTGTTCTCTTAACTATACTGGATGTTATTAGAATTTGTTGTGAAGATCCAAGTCATTTGCTTTAAATCCTTCCTGTTTTATTTCTTTAGCAGGGTGAGTTTGTGAGTAGGTCCTTCTAGATGCTCTTTGTTTACTTATGAGCATGGCTCGCAGATGACATTAGGTTAGGAACTTTTGCTTGTGACCTATGAGACCTAACATGAATGTGCTGCTGATTCCTGCTCTGTAATGCAGATATATACCAGTAGTGTGATGTGAAACTCTTTCTATGTGGTAAAAATTACACTGATGTAATAACTTAATTGTATTTCTGGTTCTTCTTTTTTTTCCTTTGACCAGAGGAAGGAATTGAAAGGAGAAAACAACTCGTCAAATCCCGTGACTCCAGTCAAGATTCCTGATTGTCCAGTGCCTGCTGCCTTGCTGGAAGAACTGTTGAAACCATCGACAGCTGTGAGCAAGGAGCCTTTAAAAAATCTGAACAGCTGTCTCCGGCAATTAAAGTATGACCTGTTATTTTAAACCATATTAAATAATCTTAAAAATGTTTCCAAGAAACCAGCTGCCAGCCTAAGGAAAAAAGGATTTGTAAAATGAATTCTTTTCCTCTTAGTGGGACTATATTTAGGACAGTAGGGTGTTCTGTCATTGCTTGTTTGTTAGTGAAATAGGCAAAGAAGCCTTTACAATAAACTAGGCAAAATATTCATCCTAAATCGTACACAGCAGAACAAACCAGAAACGGCTATTTCTAGTTGTTCTTGCTGGTGGAAAAGCTGGTGTTTCTCTCCCTTCGCAGCATCAGAAAGGCTGCTCGTGATAGGAGCCCAGGCAGTGTGTTAATAAGAAATCTCTACAGAGGAAGCTTATTCTGCCAAAAACACGTGCCAACCTTACATGGTCGCACATGAGATTCTGAGCAGGAAAGCTACAACTTCAGGAAGACAGGGAGTCTGAGTTATTGGGAGAACTGAGCTGCTATTATCACCTCAGTTGATGTTTGAGGGGAGTAAGCCTGTGATCGTGTACTACCAGATGAGTTGCTTTGCTAAGTTGGTGTCTGACTAAAGTCGTAATGTGTTTATCTAGTTATTTTTCTGTGCTGCTTTCCTTACCTCTTCCTCCCATGTTGTCTTTTATACCTGCAAGAGTACCACGTTCGTCAGGTTGCAGTCACTAAGTGCCTTTACTGAGGAAACAGTGCTGTATCATCCCTGGCAATGAGTATGTGCAGCATTGTTGGCCGTTATTTTTTAATTAAGCATATTGTACTTGTTTTGCTCTTAAATTAAAGAAGGACACTTCCTAAGCTTCCTGCAGATGTCTTGCTTTTCTATAAAGCTACAGCTTAGATAGTTTTGGAGTAGGTGTCAGGAATCAGAAGAGTAGTTTCCTGATCTTTCGTTTAGCAGTTAGCTTCCTGCTTGTTAATTTTTTGCTTTTTTGTTCTCAATACTTTCAAAAGGCAAGAAATGGACAGCCTTCAGCGTCAGATGGAGGAACACACTATTACAGTACATGAATCAATGTCTTCGTGGACTCAGATTGAGGGGCAGCTAATGGACCTTACCTCTGCCAGTCCTGCAACTGCATCAGACCAGCAGGAGATTCAAATCCTGCTGTAGATGAGAAGAAACAGAATTGTAGTGTTAGTGACAAGGAAGCTTTGACACTATAACCTCCTTATCAGTTGTCTTTCTTCCTATTGCTTTAAGTATGTAAACAAATCTTTATCAAAATTATTTATTTATTTCATTTTAAAAAGCAGTGTTCAGAGTTGTGCTTTTGCCTTGTAGAAGCAAAGGGCATGGTCTTGAGAAACTGGTGTAATATTAAATGCAGAACATGCTATTCCAAGGGTTTGTTTGAAACCTTACCATAATAATTCTGTCATGTTGGGGACTGCCAAGTGGTAAATCTGGCTCATTTTGCGGTTCGGTAAGAGATTCAGATGAAGGTTTAAAATGAAAAAAATTCATTTGAAGCCATTTCTAGTTATGAAGATGACCTCTGACCTATAGCAAAAGAAACAAGACTGTAACGACAAGCAATGCAGACCAGTACATATCTTTGGCAGATTTGCCTGGGATGTTTTCTGAAGTGTCACAGTTTTTCTCTTACAGTTGCAGGCCAGTAGGGAGCTTTGCTTCACTGCACAAACACTTCTTGCACCTTTTTAGTTCAACTTTTGAGGTAGACACCCTTGAAAAAGGTATGCGTGTAATATATATATATAAGAAAAAAAAATCATAGTTTTCTGACTTTGAGTATCTGTTTTAATATGCTTATATACTGTAAGTTAAGGCTGACATGAGGGTTTTTTTGTTACTGTCATTGTTTTAATGTTACATTTAAGTTTGCTGGTTTTTGACATACTGTACAAATGGCTTAGGGAAATTAACCCTCAAAGCCAGAGTGTTTAGAAATGTAATTATTTTTACTTTAAATGACAAAATTATAATGCCTATAAAATTATTATTTTTATTAGCTTTATCTTCTCCCACACACTTCCCTTACTTTTTGCACCCTCTATTGCAAGGTGTCCACCGTGAAAGGAAATGTTGGTACTGGCAGCCCCTCTGCAGCGCACCTTGACTAGATTCTTATTAAAGCAGCCCGCTTTAGATTCCTTCACCTTTGGTCCCGTTGTTCCATATGGCGCGTAGTGCAGTGATAAGGCCACCTGCTCCTCATTCAAAAATTCACTGTGGAGGTACTGCTTTGCCTCATGTGCTAAGTGCTAAAGCAGAAATCAAAATACACGTGGCAGGTTATTTGGAAGATTTAGTGGTAACTCATGTACAAGCATGTTTTTGTCTTTAAAACATAAAGAAAACAGGACAATTATATCCACTATAAGTTTGCGTTTAAAGAAAATAAATTAAAAATCACAAGTAGATTAAGTGGCTGGGGAAAAAAAAAAGTCCAGTTCATATATTTTTCCAAAGAGACTGTTGCTGCTTTTGAATGGATTTGGTTGTTTGGGGGAGAAAGTTATTGCAGTTTGCTTAGCAGTAAGGTAAAAATAAGCAAACAAACAAAAAACCCAAACCCATCCGTATTTATCCAAAGTCCGATTTCTCATAATTACCAATTCAAGCTGTAGTCCAATTAAACACTTTGCACCTAATGTATCTATACTGACTGATTTCATGCCCCTCAGCTACTGGATTTTAACTTGTATTTTATTGGGATCAAAGTGAAGTGATGCTAAAAGTCAAGGTTTTGAAATTGGTGAAGGAAGAAATTCATTATTGTGGCATTAGGTGCCCATCACACAGAATTACCAAACAACTCAAAGAAAAGTCAAAAGCTTTACAGGCTAGCTTAGACATATTAATGTCTGCATACTGCTGTAGTCTACTTTGCAGAGTTAAAGGTACTGATTATCTTGCTGCTGTCATGTTCTTGAAGTTGCCTGTATATTAAGCTCAAAGAAGAAAAAAATATGCAGTATTGTTAAATAACAAAATTAAAACCATGTAATGAATAATATATTCAGTACAAAAAAGTTATCACACATTCAGGATTTTAAATAAAATAACACTTGTGCAGCGTTAATGTTGCTGTTCATTCTGGTAAATACATTGCCTATGGCTAAGAATCCATTATGTTTTAATCTCTTAAGTTTGGCAACAAGTGTATGAATGAAGGTTTTATCTGGTATAAAAGAAGCCACAATTCTTAGAAACCTTCATAGTTCTTCAGAATGTCCGTTCTCCTTTTTGTATCAATAATCATACTGCATTCTGTTTTCAGTGCAGTGCTGCATTTTCTCACTAGCTCCTTACAAAGACGTCTGAGCTTCTACAATCAAGTAGCCTTAGGTGCATGTTTTCCCTTTAAAAGATGAGGGAGAATGTTGTGAAGTGCCCAGATTAGATTTCCGCATTGACCCACCTGTCTCTCTCTGAAAGCACCTGGACACTAGGTATTTCATTTTATATTCACCATGTGTTTTTTCTATAAACAGAAGCACCATGCCATTTACTTAAATGAAGGACAGACAGTGAGATTCGAGGGTCCAAATCTGGTGGGGTACTAAGTCAATTAAGTTACGGAAGTTACTGGGAAGCCCTCTAGAAAGCGTGCACAGCATGTGATAAAAGTAAGGCCTTTTCTTTGAAGCTCATCAGCTATGTTTCTTAATTATCCAGAGAAATAATTGCTGTTTTATTAAAAAGCCTCACCGTGAGGTTGACTGTGCTCACTCTAAGAAGCTTCAGGTCTCTGCTGTCTAGGCAATAAAACAAACTAGCTGTAGGAATGAAAACTGCCTCCGCTCTGCCTGTCACAGCACTGCCAAATACATCAGAGGAAAATTGGTGCCTCATTAACACTGCTGTGTTTTTAGAAACTGAAGAATAATCTCTTAAAGATTTTTTTCTTTTCCTTTTCCAAGCACTGCAATAGAATGTATTTTCCATGTCTGTTTCTTCAGTGGTTGCTACCTACTAAACCAGGTCTTGTTGATGAAGGAGAAACGTCACTGTAATATGAGAATGTTTCCCAAGTGATGAAAGCTGGTAAATGCTGCAGCATTACTTTTTCGGATGTTGTTGGGTTTTTGAGGAGTCTTGAAAAATTGTGCATTAAAAAAACCTGCAAACCCTACCATGGAAAAAAATGTTGGTTACTGAGTCTGGTGTTGCTGAACATTGCATAATGCTCCATTCTATTGTCTTCCAGATTTCTTGGAAATGTTTGTGCACTGTATTGGGACCAGCTGAGCCCCTTATCCACTCGTGCAGTGGGAGGATCTGATCCCATGCTGTTTATTCAGGCAATATCCTAGCTGAAATATATGAGAATTTCACCTATGTAAAGAGTAGGGTAATATCCAGAATGAAAGTTTTAGTGCTCGTATTTTCATGGATTACTTATTCCTCCTTAGGGAAGTGACCAGCAGTGGCGTGGGTATTTTAATGCTAGTTATGACAACATTGAAGGTACACTGGGGACAGGTAGTACTATCAATATAAATTTAACTTACAGATGGCAAATTCACGACTGGTGATGCAAAAGCTTGTGATGTATGTTTTCTTAACTTTGCTGGGGAAGTGTGAATAGTTGCATGTAACTTGGTGCGAGCAGAGTCTTTAAGTAGTTTCATGTGAAAGCAGTTATGGTCCAAATTAATTACTAATGCTCATCAGCTGTCATCTGACCACTCTTGTCTCCTACTAATGTGTAACACTTCAGTCTTGGGCAGTAGGGCCGCCTAATTTCCAATACAGATGCACAGATTTCTAAGGGAGGGAAAGATGTTTTGGATATTGTAAAGGAAATACTGTTATGTTTTATACATGACATTCAATAATGTCTGCTTAGGCGGTATTTGTAAAGGTAGAAGTTCATCGTTCCGTGTTCTTGAGTGGATAACCCAGGGGATGGAGGAGTTACACTATGTACGATTCAAGTTTATGATCATACAAAGCATGTTGATTATAAAAATAATGTGCATAGGAATTCCTTTAAAAGTTTTGTGCAATAAACTATTTTTGGTAAAGGGCTCCACGTTGTTTTTACTTTTAAAGAGAAATTTATATCATCTTTTCTTTGGTTTTGGACGGTAATTTTTATGTTTAGGATTCTGAACATGCTGTATAGCCACCTTTAAGGAAAACAAAAACACGTCTGAAGTGGATTGTGCTTGTCTTTCTATTATGTTTCCTCTTTCTCAGTGTGGTGACCATGTTAGGAAAGAAGCGTAATGAGCGTTACCTCCCTCGGCCCGACTTTGCCAACGTCTAAAGTTTTGAGTATACAAAATGGAACGATGTAGAAATGTCATCTTGATTCAAAATCAGCCAATTGCCGTGATGTGGAGAGAAATGACTGTACCGAGCTTGTAGTATTAAACAGTGTGAGTTAAAGGGATGTTGTCAACTTCTTGAAGGCCTGCCATGTTTCCTGTCATTTAAACCAGCAACTGCCCAGTTGGTTTGTAGCAGTCAGGTATGGTATGGGTCAGGTATTGATAATACCTCATGGGATGACGAATTTAGATCTGTGAAGGGATGTATACATATATTTACAACATATATATATATGTATGTATACGTATATTTACAATATACATATATTTACAATTAAATTTACGAATACTTTGGCGGGGTAGGGGAGGGAGGAGCTGTGCCACTGTCGAGCCCCGCGTTCTTTAAGGCATCTCTCCGTGCAGTATCTGTGGAGCCTCCTCGCCTTCACCCGCTCGGAGCCTGGCCGAAAGCCGCTTTTTTTTTTT